GAAACCACATTGCTCAGTAGCTCAGGGTTTGCATGGAGGTCATAAGATTATGAGCATAGGAACTTAGAAATTATATTGTATATTTTAATATTTCTTACCATTTCTTAAGATTCATTGTATCTGATCCTAATATTCCCTAACATCAATAGATTAGGCTGAGGAATGTTGTTCCACTCAGCAACTTGTGGTTTGGTAAAGGTGAAAGTCATGAGCCAAATTTCTAAGAAACAAAAATAAAACTTTTTTTTCTGAGTAGTATGTTGCAAACAGCTTTTATCCTCAAAGTAAACTGCAGGAATTGACTTAGTGTATTCATGCAACTGTAAATATATATTTAAGCAAGTTGGTAGATTGGCTTCCTTCTTGAATTTATCTAGCTAGTATTAGACTGACTGATTCACTTCAGTGCTCCTCTCTGAAAGGCTATTGTCCTCGTATGCTGCCAGTTCCAGTCTTAATGTGGATGCCGTGACTGCTTGTAGTGGTAAACAAAGCTAGAATCTTGCAAGATGCATTCAGTCAGGATGACTTAACTCGTGGCTGTATTTGTTTTGGTGGAAATTAAGGAATGTGGTACCTACCTAAAGAGTTGTTATTGACAGTGCTGTGGTAGCTCTATCTGACTGAAGCTGCCAAGTTTGGCATCTCCAGTTCCCTAGGAATCTGGAAGCCAGATGATCTCACCAGGACCTGGGGGTTACAATCCAATTGATTTCACTAGATTAGTTGTTGCCAGCTGGATATGGGCAGCTTTTTTATGCAGTGTTATCTAACTGTCACTAAGAAGTCTCAGTTCCTCTGCCAAGACTTCAGAGCTTTTGACTTAGACTGGAAACATTGCTGTTTCTTTAAGCTCCTTTCAGAATATCCCTTAGTATTTTCATTTCTACATTTCTATTGATGGTTGGAGCCTTCCGTGAAGTCATGGTCAAACTTGCTTTATTACAGTTAAAGACAGATATGTAGCAGTAGAAAAGGATGTATATCTGTCAGGGACTCCAGAAACCTTCTGAATGTTTGCAAAATGAGTATAAATAAAATACTGTCTCTTGAAGACGTCCTTTGAATGTGTCATAGAATACCTTCAGTTGGAAGGGACCACAAAGATCATTTAGTTCCACCCCCCTGGCATGAGAAGGATTGCCAACCACTATATCAGGTACTACACCAGGTTACTCAGGGCCCCACTCGGGGCTTCCACAGTTCCTCTGGGCAACCTTTTTAGTGCCTCACCACCCTCTGAATGAAAAATTTCTACTTAACATCTAATATAAATCTCCCCTAAAATGTATCTTGAAAAATTATGAAGGAGGTAATGGCTGAAAGCGTGGAATGCAAATTTAGCTTATTTCAGGAAAGGAATTGTAAAATACCAGTTATATGAAAAGTCATGCTGATCACACGAATATCTAGTTAACCTAGCTGGGAGTGTTGCCTGAGTAAAGAATGCAAGTGTTGGTCTCCTGTTTTCCAATGTTGTGTCCTCTTGCCCCTCCACTCCTTACACACATTTATAATAATGTAAGAATTTCATAAGAGAAGAGAAATGAGATTTTGATAGCCTCTCTACTCCACTGCCACTCACCCCCTCCCTCCCCAAAAAAATCATCTGCCAATAATCCTGAACATGGCTGTTGAATGGATTTGACCTTGATTTCAGTTCTTGGCTGGCAGGTGCCTGGAGGCCTTTCAGTCTGCTTTAGAAGATCTTGCTTTAAAAACAGTAGTATTTGTCGCCTAATTATGAATGCAGATTTTGCATGTGTTTGTGATTTACAAGGCCTTCCTTATGTGAAACAGGCTATAAACTCTCTTTGGAAATGTATAGTAGTCTGGAGCAGATAATTACACTCTGAGAAAAGAGCCTCTGTTTCCAGTGAAAACACTGTAAAGTTATTTCAGAAATGCTCTGACCTCAGACGTTTCATATAACTTACACAAAATGCTTTCACATTTGTGCAGCAGCTAGTGGCTTGATCTCTGCCATTTCATAAACGAAAGTGCAGAAGTCTCCTTGGGAAAAAAGCAGGATGTCTATGCTGTGGCCCGCAAAGCCAGTGTTATTTTACGCACTCAGTTCTTTGTGTCTGTAGCCTTCAACAGAAGAAATCTTGTCCTCCTTTAAACAAATCCATCTCCTAATCACCCTGCCCCCATAAACTCAGCTTTCCTCAGATTTTTTTCTTCCCTTCCTCCACTCAGTGTACACACACTAATAAAGTCTGCTGTAAAAACCTTGGGAGAATTTCTCAGCACAAATGGAAAGAAGATGTCAAAGACTGAGGATAGGAATTTTCTTTTTAAACTTGCAGGAACAACTGAAGCAATGAGGGAAGAACCAAAGATGGCAATTCTTGCCATGTCAGAATTGCATTAATTTTCTTTTAGTGAAACCCTACTGGTTCTTCTTGATAGCGTCCAAAAGAACTATTTTTGTTTGGGATTGTTTGTTGGTTTTTTTTCCAAGCTGAATAGTGCAAAGGAGAAGCATTAGAAATGCCAGTGCTGAGACTTGTGAGAATTTCACACCGAAAATGCTTTTGTGGCCTTTTGAAAAAAGCTGTTCTTAACCTCTGATGCAATAAAATTGTCATACATTGATAAAAGCTTTGCATGAAAAAAGCTTATATGCTGAAAGGGTGAGTTAACTTCAAATGGTTCTAATTACGTGCTTTGCCCTGTAGAGAGCAATGAATGGAAAATAGATTTTTGAATACCATGAGGACAGGTAATTTTCAGAAAACCCTGTTTAAAGAAAAGAGAAAAAAATTGAAGTCTGTGATTGTCTCATTTAAAAAAAAAAAAAAAAAAAAAAGAGGGAGAAAAAAAAACAAAAAAGATTGGATTGTATTTTCAGAGATGTCTTATCAGAGGAAAATTTGCAGGGAACACACTAGAGACACCTCTGCAGGTGGAGTTGGCTGAGCATATTGCTGACAGCTGTACCAGGGAGATGGCCTAGCTGTCTGAACGTTTGCTGGTGAAGGCACTCATGAGGGCACTTCACTTTGTTTTTGCTCCACTGTTAGCTTAGACCTCAGCTTAGTTTACTGTGGTCTTGGGCATCATACTTGGAACCAACTGACCTCAAGTCAGCCATGATCCAAAGCTCTTCAGAAAGCAGGGCTACCTATGAGTGTAAGGATAGCGCTAAACATGTGGATCACTACAGTAATGTCTCCCATGTTCACAGCAAGATTTAAAATCCAACATCTGTCTGCTCTCTTTGTCATGTTGTGCTATCTGTAATTTCATGCCCAAGATCCAAGAAATAGGAATCTGACAGTAGCAGATGGAGGTCATGCTATTTGCAGTTTGCAGCCAGTAAGATATTCATAGCCAGTAATGTTTTAATAATTCATAGAGATAGAATAGCCATAGTCCTCTGCTTATGCTCTGTGTTCACCATAAACGAGCAAAAAAGTAGCAGCCTGTACTGACTGATTAATTCTTCCCATTCTCTGCAGTTAGTGTTACCAATAAGGTGAGTGTGCAAACTCGCTATGTTGATGGCATGTATGAGATGACCTATAAAATAAATGAATAAATGGAGAAACTGAAAATGTGCAGCAGATGTATCCAGTGATTTTGTTTGGTTTGTGTGTAAAGAGGCTAATTTCTTGTAGGGCAGCACAAAAAGGGCAGAGGCCACAGTTAATGGCACAGGCAGCTTCAACGCAGCTTGCAGCAAGTGCTGCTCTCCCTAAGGGAGAGGAGGGGAGGCCAGGTAGCAAACTTGTGTCCCTGGCCTCTGCAGCAGGCAGAAGAGGTGGCAGGTTGCAGAAGGAATGGCATATGCTTTAACTCCTTGAAAGACTTAGCAGCAGATGCTCTTCTCTAGCATAGATCAGAAGTTTTAAAAATAAGCAGAAAATTGGCTACAGCAGGAATTAACGGAGTTGCATGTGGTTGATCACATCTAAAATACCCAGCAGACTGATCTTCCCTGCACTTGCATTTATGTGGGCTGCGTGAATTTTTACAAATGCAAGCTGTGAAGCTGCCCAGGTGTACTCTTCTCAGTAAGCTTGGTTATTTTTAATTCTGTTGCAGCCTTTTCTTGTTCAACATACAATACGTGTACAAGCACAGACAGCACTTTCTGTCATAATAGTGGGCAGTCTAGCTTGGGTGGCTCCTTCTCTGTTTCCAGCTGCTTTCATAGGTGCCTCAGGTCCTTCTTTGTAATGAAACACCTGTGCATCTTTCAGAAAGCTGGAGATTGCATCTGCTCTGTGTAAGCAGCTGGTTGTCTGCAGACTTGTTAGCATTTTTACTTGCGAGACACTAACCTGAAAAGTAGTTTCAGAAACCTGTGAGCAGCTTTCTGGAAGGTGCTCAATAAAAATGGAAATTAAAGGGCCTCGCTGTTTTGTGATACTGTTGCCTTTCTGTTTCTCTGGTGGTGAATATCAATAAATATTATTTCTGCAGAATGGTGTTGCGCGGATTGCTCGTAAAAGAGCTTATTTTACCTAAAATAGCGTGCTTGAGACTAAACATCAACTTCTGTGTTTCCAAAGATAGATATGAAAGCACTGCTTTTAGATTCTCTAATCCATTTTTCTTTGGCAATCTAAGCTACGAAGGGTGCCAAAATAAATGGCAGATTTATAAGCCTCTGAATTTATTAACTGCACTTGAAAAGAAGTTTTACGATGTTAGAAAATATTTATTATCTAACAGGAGATAAATTGTTGCCCATAACTGAAACCAATAGAAAGTTTGCCATATCAGAGATACTTTTGCTTATCTAAGTAGTCTGATTTAGCAGATGGAGTAAGCAAAGTATTCAAAGAACAACTGCGCAGTGCCTATAGTTATTACTGCAAAAAAGCTGTCTCTGAAATACTACCAGTGTCCAGTGCAAAAAATGACAAAGGAATGCTTTGTTATGTAGAAGTCACTGCATTTGCTTGCACGTCTTTTTTTACAGCGTCCCATAGCTTCAACAGTGCCATTAATTCATTACTTTAACTATTTCTTTCTATTTTTTTCAGGGCCCTCCTGGTCCAAAAGGCGAGAAGGTGAGTTGATGTACGGGTGTCACTTCCCAGGTAAATGGAAATACGTCACAGCATGAACTAAAGACACAGTTTGTATTGACCCAGTGTAATGTTAGATGATGTAAGAGAGCTGGGTAGCACACAGATGCTGTGTTAAACCTATCATCTCATCTTTCCACTTTGCAGGGAGATCAAGGTGATCAGGGCCCTCGGGTAAGCATTTTAAAAAAAATGTTACACTTCCCCTTCGCTGAGTAGGCAATTAGTCTTTAGCGCAAAACTAAATTAAATACACTGTCTGAGCTAATTATGCTTATTAGCTGCATTTACCCTGCATGTTGAAGTCAGTGTCTGCAGGACAGTAATACTGAACGTGATCAGATAGCGTCTGAGAGGGCTTGAGTAACAACAGTAAGTAATGCATTAAAATATAAAACTTCCATTATGAGTGGAAGCAGGTTTCAGTCATTTTGCTCTGCTACATAAAAGTTGGCTTTCCTAACCAAACCTTTCAGTTTCCCCAGCAATGTTTTCACGGCTTGCATGGGCTCCCACAATGCAGAGGGTCAGTGAATTTATAATAAATGTAGCTCTCGATTTCATAGCTGCTATTTAGTAAATTGTAAACAAGTGCATATGCATGAACTAGCTCATTTTCCTAAAATGTATGTATATAATATTGTTAATGATAATGATATTTTCACCACTTAAACAGAACGTTGTTTAGTTATATAAACATAAAATTTCTTTTAATTTTTAAACATCGTGTTTACTTTAACAGAGAACTAAAGAAGAATACAGGGGTAAATGTTCTGATAGGTTGACTGTGCCAGTTTGTTCTTCTTTACATTTGTGCTTCATTAGAAAATGTTTGGCTATGTTGTTCTAATAATACAGTGATTTCCTTCTTTAGTTGCATTTTTGTGAAGATTTATATAATAATAAACTTTTGTCTGTAAATTATGCAGAATATTTTGAAACTGTAATTTTATTTTACTGTCCTTTTTATTTTTTGTAGTTAGTAAGATTGTATAAAGTCATAATACATTTATCTGTCTGAATTTGGTGTTGGTGTTAGTGTTGTATTACCTACAAGGTTTAGTAACTGTCGTGTCATACAATCATAGAATGGCCTCAGTTGAAAGAGATCTCAAAGATCATGTAGTTTCACCCCCCCCCCCCCCCCCCCCCCCCCCCCCCCCCGGCCATGGGTAGAGTCGCCAACCTGTAGACCAGAGTCCCATCCAGCCTGGCCTTGAATGCCTCCAGGGATGGGGCATCCACAAACTCTCTGGACAACCTGTTCCAGTGTGTCACTGCCCTCTGTGTGGAAAAACTTCCTCCTAATATCTAACCTAAACCTCCCCTGTCTCAGTTTAAAACCGTTCCTCCTTGTTCTATCACTATCAACCCATGTAATCAGTCAATCTCCCTCCTGTTTTTTTATATGCTCCTTTCAAATACCAGAAGGTCACAATGAGGACTCTCCAGAGCCTTCTCTTCTCTAATCTAAACAAGTCCAGTTCCCTCAACCTTTCTTCAGAGGAGAGATGCTTCAGCCCTCTGATGATTTTAGTGGCTCTCTTCTGGACCAGATCCAAGAGCTCTGCACCTTTCTTGTTCTGTGTCCTGCTTAACCAAATCACACCCCTCTATTGGGGAGCAGTAGAGTCCTTCATGGACCATACAAATCATGATTATGATTACTTTGTGTTACTAATGAATCAGTTGCTGTTAACTACTAAGAAACCTTCCAACTTAAGAAGTTTGGGTTTAAGGACATCATAAAGTCATAGGTACATAAGTGTGTGCCAGTTGAGGCTCTCTGAATGTGGGAGAGGAATCCAGTGAGGTCAGCAGTAGGGGAAAGAAGTGGTGAATAACACCTTGTGAGCTAGCGGCAGCTTCACTTGTTTATTTAGTCAGTGCATGCTGTAATAAAGTACCTGTTTTTGAAACATGCATTAGCTTAATCTGCCCAGTCCTCTTATTTGTTTATATATTTGGTTGGTTGTTTTGCTTTTTTTTTTTTTTTGGAGTGACTGTGTGTGTGTTCCACAGTAGCTTCTCCTTGTTCTTCCCTTTCTGTATATATCAGGAGTAGTAAGTGCTACAATGCCTCTCACCACTTGTTGTTTCATGGTACAGCAGTTATCTCTTCTGTTAACTGTCTTTGGGGTGAGCCTACTTGGGTTACTGTGCCAAGAGATTTACGATGTAATTAATGTAAATTATATGTGTCACTCAGTCATGTTCCAAATGAAACTAAATATATTTAAAACTGGTTGGTTGCCTTTGCGCATAGTATTTCACCATTCCCTAAGTCAAACGTTTTTGGAGGTGACTCCGTACCAGAGTATTTTAGAGAAGTTGCACCTGTAAGTGACTGTGGAATGATATCAGCATTTGGATTTGACAGGTATGCAAACAAATTGGATATAATGTCTGGAAGTGCTGGACATCTTAGAGCTGATCCATCTTTTATAGACATGGACCTTTAAGTTTGTTCATTTTATGACATTTTTTACATATTGTTTGAATCTAGTTCTTAACGTGGTAAAGATTGTACTGTTTCAAATCATTTTGCAAAGTTTTAAAATGATCATTCTTTTTAAAAGCTGCTTTCTTTTCTCTCAAGTATTTTTCATTAGCAAAAGAAACCCAAACAAAATGTCAAGATTCCGTGTCAGAGTGGAACTGTAAGCTCTTAAAATTCTTCTGAAAGAGAAGCATTTAAGAAACAAAAAAAATACTGTGTTTTATCTTTAAGTATAGCACTTTGAGTTTTGAGCAGTCATTAGATATGAAAGATCCTTCCTTCTGAAATATTCTCAAAAGTGCAAAACCAGTAATCATGTGTTTCAAAACTTATTTCTTGTGGTCCCTGGAAACACCGACTGTATGCTGATCTTTTTTGAAATTCAAATGTTCTTGAAAGTATTTTCTATATATTAAAAAAAATAGCAGACAACTGACCCTCCAAATACTGCGCAGAAGTCAGAAACAGATATTTTTAGAATAAAAGAGTTGTTGTTTTTTTTTTTTCTTTTGAGAGGGGGGCTTTTTTGGAGGAAGAATCTGAAAGGTTTTCTTAGGTATTCAGAATTTATAGCTGCAGACCAGTCTTTCTCTTACAGAAATGGTGAAAGGGTTGTAGTTCCTAATACCATATGGTGTAATCCACTTATGTCCATATGTAAGCAAAACCAGGATTCCAGTAGTGTGGATGATGTAGAAGTTCATGCTCTGACTGTGAATTTGAACAGCAGGTTAATACTGCTTCAATCTCATGAGACCACAGATAAGGTAGTGGTGGGTATATTCAAAAGTCATCATCTTCTTTGAAGAACTAAAAAAAAAAAAAAAAAAGTTAAATATTTTTATATCAGATCTCTACTTGTTACCTTAATATTCTGGCAGACTAAACATTTAGGTGAAATGCAAAACCAGCAGTCTTTTGTATGTTTTTCTTTTTGCAGAGGACGTGGCCCCATGATGTGTCATGCAGATTTGCATTACTGTACTGAGCCATGGCAAAATTATAAAGGGCGGTTTTTAGATTTTGGGCTATTAGAACAAATGCTGATATCAATCCACTGCTTGGTTCCAGTTGCTGAGCTCTACCCCATTTTGAAAAAGCCTTTGAAGTTTTCATATGCTATGTGTACACAGAAGAGATTGTACCCTGATTAATGGAAGCAGACCAGAGGTGAATGTCTGGGAGTGGTTTAGCTAGTACTGTTTGTCTTGATCAGCTTATTGTTGTCCTCCTCTAATTGATGTAACAAGTATCTTCTGTCCTTTAGATGCACTAGTGATTCTTTCTTTATCAGGTCTAGAAATCAGTGGCTAACAGTTGCTTTAAATTGGTTTTAGTACAGTAAGAAGACACGCTAAAAGATTTTCATGAAATTGTTCTCTCCTTTTGTCTGTTTAAGTAAACTTTCCCAGCTGCTGGCTTGGCACAAAACTGATAAAATCTCTCAAACTTCTGCAACAGAAGAGATTAAATTGAGGAGGGAAAAAAAAAAGTTTTCAGAAGTTTATTTTATTGTGATAACCCTTATTGTCTTGAAGGTTAAACAGGTTCTTTATATACTGTTAAACCAGATAGGTGAAGGAAGTGATAATGCACTTTTCTATTTAACCCTAACTCTTTACTTACTGTCTGCTGAGGAGAGATCACTGCTTTGTAATAGAAATTTTGCAGGTTCTACTCTTCTGTGCTGGAAAACTATTTAAAATTTGCCTACAATAAACAATATAGGCCTGGAAGCAGACTATTTACTGAAACATATACATACATATTTGGATTTATAAAAGGGCTGCTCCAAAAGTAACACCTCTTATTTTGGTGGCCCATGATGTCAGAGGGTGGGTGGTGCATTCAGCAGTGGCAATAGTGATGTGAAAGATAAGCCACATTCCAGGTGGCTGTGAGCAGCTGTCACACCACAAAATGAAGAGCATCTCAATTAGCTCATTTGCACTAATAGGCTAATGGTGGTGTCCATGTTGAAAAGTAGTTTTTTGTTGGCAAGAATTTTCTGTATCAAACATTGTTATCATGCACTTTGTCATGGTTTCCATGGAAATAATTAGAAGACAGTGCTTTCAGAGCACCCTATGTTGATATAAGCATTGGCTATAAATATAAACTTTGGTATTACTTCACTTGTTGCATTATGGACACTGCTTTTATAAACTGTCTCATTTTAAAGGGAAATTGAAGATATCTAAGGAATGCATTTTGACCTGTTATTTTTCAAAGAAAAATAAATAAAGCCTCTTTTTAATGTGTGCGTATATTATCCTTAATTAATGTCTCTAAGGAATATAATAAAAAATACTTGGAGCCCTTTCCTGCTCCCTCAGACAATAAATGGAAAATCTATGTTGTCATCATTAGAATTAGTATTTCATTCATAAATCAGAAAGTACTAATTGCTCACTGATGAATAACCCATGATCATCAACTCTCTGCCGTCTACTAAAACTTAGACTTTTTTCATTTGAGGATTAGCATTTTTTTTTTTTTAGAAAGGAACAGGTTTGTGTCATAAAATTAGGTAGTAGTATGTAAATTAATCTGATTTCTTGCCCTTACCAAAGGCAAGACTCCAGTGTTCTTGAGGTACTACTAATTTTAGCAAATGCACATAAATCAGCAATGTAATAAGCAGCTTTGTTCCCAGACACCCAGTTTGTATCTT